GTTGAAACTCACAAAAATAGAATCATACAGTAGCTGTATATAGCTGACTTCCTTTTCTCAACATGTTTGAGATTCGTGTTATTACTTGCCATAAAATACGGTTTTTAAATTTTTATATGTCCCTACCTTTATAGCTTCTGAATGTCTTCCCTTCATTTAAAATATCTTTCTGTCTCTTAGACTATACATAGCTAAATATTATTCTAAGATTGTTATTAGTTATTTTATATATTTAAGAATTTAATTCATTTGGAAATTATTTTAGAAAATGAGAATAGGGATCCAACTTTATTTTTTCTCAGATGTCTGTTTGCCAGCATCATCTATTAAATGAGCCATCTTTTCTTCCCTATGCTAAAAATTACCAAGAGATGGACATTTACCCAGATCACTGACCTTCATGTAGGTATTTCTAATGACAATACTTATCTCGTGCCCAGAATGCTCAAAGATTTGTAGCAGACATGAAACCACTCTTCTGCCTTTGAAACTGGCCCATGGCTCTGCACTGCCCTTAGAATGAAGATCACATGTGGCTCTGTGACCCCCTCCAGCACCATCTAACACTGCTCTCCCCCACCTGCACTCCTACCACAGTGATCCTTCAGTTCCTCAAACCCTGGCCTTTCCTGTCTGCTCTTCACAGACGCTTCATCTGCTGGGGAAGCTTAGCTCCCTTACTTGCTCTTCCCCCACCTACCCAATCCCAGCCTTCTCTGCCTCTTACAGCAAGTCTTCTGTTTAAACCTCCTTTCTGCAGGGAGTCTTCCCCAGCTGCACAGAGTGGATTGCCCTACTCCCTAACCCCTGTATGTTCCTCCAAGTATCTCCTACAGGTCTCCTCACAGCACTGTGCACACTTAGAATCAGTAACTATTTGCTTCATGCATCTTCCCCAGTGTACTGCTCTAAGTCCCACGAGGGCAAGGCCCATCTCTATTTTGTTCACCACCATCCTCCTCTACATCTCCTTTCCTGGCTCAAGAAACACTGATCACAAAAATCAGTAAGAAAAATGAACACAACTGAAGTATCACAGCACAGCAACAAGAAAAAGTCACAGAAGAAACAGGAAAAGGCAAATAAAACATGAAGATGGTCAGTGCACTAATAACTTACAATATAAAAAGAAAACCTAAGGTATTTTTCTCCTATGAGAATGTCAAAAAAGAAAACTAAAACATGGGCCATTATTGGTCAAAATAAATTGGTACAACCTTTTGGAAGGCAATATCTACATATATAAAAGCCCAGCAACCAGAACAACCAGAACGACCGGTGGCTACAATGCACACTGTGGCAGCCAACCAGCCTGATCTGAGCCCTGATCGGCCCCCTCCCCGGCCGGCCCGACCCCTGATCAGCCCCCAACACCCCGATTGGGGGCAGGGCCAGCCAGCCAGCCAACTGCCCACAGCCCCTCCCCCCCACCGCTGGCCCGGCCCAATGGGTCTCCATGCACGAATTTGTGCACCAGGCCTCTAGTAGTAATGTCTTTGACCAAGTAATCCCACATCAAGGAATTTATTCTATAGGAACACATATGAATAAGCAAAGATGTATGTACATAGCTTTCTCTACAGCACTATCTCTAATAGGAAAATGGTAAGAAACAATGCAAATAGCCACAAAATGGTTTTAAGTAAATAGATCATAATTTAGCCTTGTATATATCTACACTAATAAAAGAGAAACCTCCCCATCGACCCTGCCTTGAGTGTGACAGGGGGCGGTGCCCCAACCCCCCAATCAGCCCTACCCTGAGCGTGACTGAGGGTGGCATCGCAACCTCCCGATCCGCCCTGCTCTGTGTATGACAGGGGGCGGCGCCCCAA